GAGAGAGAGAGAGAGAGAGAGAGAGAGAGAAAGAGAGGCTTAGTGTAATCAGATGAATGTTTTTCATCACGTGCCTTGACAAAATAGGAAATGAGCCGAGCAGCCATGAGGCCATTGGTTATCAGCTTCCAGAAACAGAAATGCAACGAACATGGACCATATTTGAACCGGTTAGGTGTTTGCCTGCCAAGCCGTAGGTTGTGTGTTCGATTCTTCGGTCGGACATGCGCAATGCACGCATGCCATTAGAAATCCAATGATTGGATGAAAGGGTTGATCTGTGGGTTCTGTGCAATAACATCAAAGGACGTGACGAGTCCAGTGGCAGGTGGATGAATGATCTATAATTCATACATTGCATCTATTCACACGTTGCAAGATCTGTTTCAGCACATGGTGATATATGTCTGTATTCTTCTACCATTTGGGCGATTATCAGACTAGATACGCTGTTACGTTTTTTTTTTTTTTTTTTTTGTTAATGTTACTGTTTCTATTATGGGTATTAATGGCCAAGTCTTTTGATTTGGGGTAAGAAGGCAGGCTCCAGGTAGTAAGTACCCTGTCAAAGTTTCTTTGGCAAGCACTGAGGGTGCGACAAGGGCCCACAAATGCTGAAGGCAGTAAGGTACCACAAAGGCCTACAAATGCTGAGCATGCCACTAAGGCCCACAAATGCTGAAGGTGCCAATGACTCAGTGAGGACCACAAAAAAATGATGAGGGTGCACGAAGGCCCGCAAATCCTGAAGGTGCCACAGAGACCCACAAATGCAGAAAGGGGCTACCTGAGGGGGCCAAGAAAAGTCCCACCAAATTAACGTTACGCAGGGCAAAGGTTCCCCGAACAATGAAGGTGCCAAAATTTCCCAAAAAAACGCCCAAGGTGCCAGACACGCTGCAAGTACCAGAGATGCTGACGCTGCCACAATCGAGGCTTCATTTTTTCTGAGTCTTTCATGAAAACAAACTGTGGAGGCTCTCCATACCCGCTGCAATGACTTTCCTTCCCTTTTTCTTTTAGGGCCAGTACGTTGTTGATGTCACTTTTGAGTATCGAATGAGCAAAAAAAAACACGGGTCGGCGAAGAACTCAGGGCCCTCCGAGTTCGAAAAAGCAATGAAATTACCAACGACCGTGGTGTCAGGCCAGGGCCGTGGTCCCATTAGCAAAGAGCATCGCATTGAATGCCTGAATCTGGACGTGTTCGAGGACAGGAGCAGGAAATCGAGATCGAACTGCTTTTCTGTATCTCTGCATACAACATGGCCAGATTCAGGATTTCTATCCGATCCTCTTTGCTAGTGGGACCACGCCCCAGGTGCCATAACTACAGGGGTCGGCCGTGGTATCAGACGGGGAAAGAAAATTCTGCACAAATTGCTGGTTTTTTTTTTTTTTTTTTTTTTTT